CCCCCCCCCCCCCAAAAAAAAAATTAACCCAACAATTTAAGGAAGTTCTGAGGGAAAAAAAAGAAAATATGTAATCAAGCATATTTCTACTGTATGCATTACATGATCCTGAGTAGTGTTAATGAATTTAGTACATCTCCTGGAGATACTGTTTGAAAGCAAAAGGGATGGCAATGAGCAAAGAAAATACTAGTCTGAATTTTAGAAAAAAAATAAATGTGGAAATGATGAGAGCGTATTTTCAGCAAAAAAAGTCTCATTACCTCCATTATTTAAAGTTAAACTGGACAAAGCATTTGCAAATATACTGTAGAAAGTAATCCCACTTTGACTGAGAGATGAAAAAGGTCTAATCTTTCATTTCTATATGACATAACTCACTACCTTTGAAAAAAAATGTCCAAATTCTTTACCCACTAAGCTCAGCTGTCTTTAGTTAGCAATGCTCACGGGTATGTGGTAGCATTATTTCAGCCTTCAAAGTGCTCTTATATTTTTCATGATATGACAGAAACATTTACAAGATTAAAAAAATGAAATATAGACTAAGATATAAAGTTAAAATATTTTTTCTTTCATAGTGATATCTATGTGTCTGCAGAGATTGTTGAACGTCAGACCTCATTTACTGTGCTTTGTGTCTTCAAGAAGTAAAAGTAGGAAGAATAAAAATGGTGCTGTCTTTTGACTATTGCACTCTCTATAAATAAGACATCTACTACAATTTATTTTTTATACGATATGTTATATTAAAGGGATTTCAGGCAGTTTATTCCAAAACATAAATGGAATTATTTTTCAGTGCTCCTGATTATAAAAATGAGGGAGATCCCAATTTTGAATCCTATTATGTGATATAAAACAGTGGAATGACTAAGCTCCAGACATCTATCTATGTTGTAATAGAAATGCTGAGACCTCTGGGAAGTCCTGTCTTGTATAGTTTAAATAAAAAAACGTTAGAAACATAGAAATTACCATACTGGTTCAACCGGTGGTCTAATTAAACTAGTATTTTCTGTTTCTGTTATTACCCTATCCTAGATGTATATATTCTGAAATAAGTATTCCTGTTGCAGAATAGCCCATGGCACGTCTACAAATGTGCTTTAGTGTACATTAGCCTTTTTTAATGCACTTTGAACCATCACTTTACAAGCATGCTCTTTAGTTAATGCACATTAAGACAGGCTAATATATATTTTCCTAGTACCTGACAGTGAAAGGCATCAACACATGTGCTCCAGGGGATGAGGGTCTGGGGGGCACTTTACTTAGAGTGGCTCTGACAGCTGCTCTAATTAAAGCACCCAGAGCATCTCATGTATTAGTATCCCCACACTTCAAATTGGTGGCAGGAATGCTTTATCTAAAGCTCACTGATTGAGTCTGCAAAGTGTGGTAATTACTGTGCTCCAGCCAACTTCTGCATCTCATGTATCAGTGTCCCTGTGCTTCAAAATGGCAGTGGGGATGCTTTATCTAAAGTGTGTTGGACAAATTTTAGATAAAGTGTCCCCTGTTGCCATTTTGAAGTGTGGGAACACTGATACACGAGGCATGGAGGCTGGCTGGAGCGTAGTAATTACCATGCTTCAGAAGACTCGACTCTTTGAGTCTGCTCCAACATGCTGTAATTACAGTGCATTGGAGCAGCTTCTGCACTTGTGTATAGGTACCCAATGGTACTAGATTTAATACGCATTAACTAAAGTGTGTTAACACATGTGTAGATGTGCCCAGGTAAATGTCTTTTTAAGTCCAGGAAGCCAGTGCTTCACTTATTCTCTGAAGTAGGAAAGTTTATA